CAGCAGGACACAAAGTGTATTAATGCTGGCTCATAATATCCTCATTCTCAGTCCGAAATATGATGGATCCAAAACTGCTGTTGTTTGAAATTATATCCAACTCTTTCTATAGAAATCACCATGAGTGGCATCTTGTAGTCTAAGGAACCGCTTAGTCCCTGAGCGGGGTCACAGGGGGTGGGGAGGGGCGGAGCCAATCCCGACCGGCAATCGGGCGAAGGCAGGGTACACCCCAGACAAGTCGCCAATCCATCGCAGGGCTAACACATAGACAAACAACCACACACGCACGCACGCACACCGATGGGCAATTTAGAGACACCAATCAACCCAAGCTGCATGCCTTTGGACTGCGGGAGGAAGCCGGAGCACCCGGAGAGAACCCACGCAAGCACGGGGGAGAACATGCAAACGCCACACAGAAAGGTCCCGGGTGGGGAACCTGGAGTCTTCTCGCTGTGAGGCAACAGTGCTAACCACTGCGCCACTGTGCTGCCCACTGCAGGGGGGTGTGTCTGGTTGGGAATCAACTTCAAAATAAAAATCACGTGTTGCCTCGAGTTGCATTGACTGTATTCTGCTGAGAAACACCGCCCTCCCGCGGACCACGGCAATATGACAAAAATAACAGCAACACTGGACTAAACCATTCACTTGACAAAGCAAGCGATGCAGTCACAAATTACCACAATCCTGGTAAAAATATCTCTGAAGCCTTAATATGGTCGAATAAGGAAAGGATTCCATTTATTTTCACCAAAATATATAATGAAACGTGTCCCGTGACAGACATTTTTGCAATATTTATGACAGTAGAGTTGCGCCCCTTGACTGCCGTGCATTGAAAGCGAGTGGTGCAGTCCAGCAAAGCTGAGAAACGGTTTTCGCTGAGACGCTGTATTTCACCGCTGTAGAACGGATTTTTACGACGGTTCTAACATTTCATTTATATCTAACTGGTTTTCAGACAGCGGCTTTCTTAACTCGCCATGGCTCTGTGCGGGGGTGTCGGGGCCATGGCTTTACCTAGCGAGCTTATTGTGCACATATTCTCCTTTCTGTCTGATCGGGACAAGCTCCGGGCCTCGGCCGTGTGTTCACGCTGGAGGGAGTGTCTGTTCTACCCTGCTCTGTGGACCGAGCTCAAACTGCGGATAGGTGGTGGTTGTAACGGCAGCAGGTCCAGCTCCGAGGAGACCTCGAGACTAGAGTTTCTCATGCGGAAGTTTGGCTCGTTTGTGCGTGAGATACAGGTGGAAGTCGCACTGGCCGGAGGCTGCCTTAGCCCTTTGAACAGCGACCCGTCCACCACCAGGATGGACCATCCTCCCGGTCCTGATAGTGACCCGCAGCTCCCCGAGCGATGGAGAGACGCCATGGCTACCTACTTGGACCAGGTGTTGTGTGTATTCATCAGCATCCGAAACAATAGGTAACGTTAAATCTGCTTCATGACGTCTTTAACGGTCTGTGTTTTTAATTGAATTTAGGAATTGGCGCGACATATTTTATGCTTGTCTAAATTTCACAATATTTTGATGCGTCGCAGTAAGCTAGCCGCCATCTAGCTTAGTTAGCTATAAACAAACTGTGACATTAGGAGTTACGTAATCGGGTCATGTCTTTTCAGTAGTGCTGTCAGCCAACGTTGTCTTAATGTATCTGAAGTCATTCTTAATACATAATATTTTTACTGCTTGGTTCCAAATGTACAATCATCAAATATTGAACATGTTGCGTTTGCAGCCAGTTCTATTTTCCGTGGTACATGGTCTCCCCACACCAGCACATAGTGCAACCCTAGTAATGATTAGAGAAAGCTTCGTTGCCTGTGACTTGATGGATGTCAGCGCAGACACACAAACATAAACACTGTACATGTGTGTATTTGTTTATCTCTTATTTGTCATTGCATACAATAGGATATAATCGCCTGTGAGCTGCATATGTAAAGTATGAGCACTTGGATCATTTTTGCTGTAAAACCTTTCCTCTGAATGTTAAGATTCCTGCTTTATTGCAAATCCTGTATATCCTCTCTAACACTGTCTATTATTCTTTACATTGTAGCATTGAAACTGGAGCTGTGCAGTACTTGCCTTGTTTCTGCTGAGTGCTGAAAACTTTTCTGTTGTCTGAATCATTCCTATTGAGCAGTTTCTGTAAAAAAAAAACAATCTAACCTAAGCTGTGTGTTTAGTGCTGAACAATAATTCAGTGTGGTTTTGAAATGTGACAACATGGGGTTTATCCAGGTGTCAGTATGCATAGTTAAATTATTTAATTATTGAATGATGTGTTAAGTTGACATTAGTGTTCCTAACAGACAAAGCAGAACAGAAATCTACAAGCTGCTAACCTCTACTTCTATTTTATCAATTCAGACCACTTGACCATTGCTTAATACTGTCTTATCTAACTTGAGTTGTCATGTTATCAGGAGATGAATGCTGTTTCATTCAGTCAACACCAACTCCAGTGGTACATGTTCAGATTTATAAAAAGAGATTCCTCAGCATTCCTTTATTAGCAATTTCACACACATAAGTAGTTGCACACGAGACTGCTGTTGTTTTTCTGGCATTTTGTGAGGCTTTGCTCTCAGCTGGTATACAGCAGGTGGGCTGCATTGAACATGATGTAGGCCTATGCAGTACTAGCAAGCAGGCCTATGTCATGTGTGGCTGTATGATCATTCTTTCCCACACAGTACACTGGCAATCTTTCAGACATGAAATGGCCTGTTTGGAAGGCTGTAGCTGGGTACATTCTGACCTCTGTGCTTATCTTGACTGCTTTTCAAAGCATCAGTTTTTGAGAACAGTGAAGTAGACCATATGCCAATCTTTTTTGGGAACGAGGGTATAAAGGGCTCTACACAGCAGTGCAGCAAAGTGCATGTGCAGCCATAATTCTGTGCAGACAGCTCCACAATATGCAGAGCCACGGTTAGATTAGATTGTGCAAAATGCTTCCAATTTGCCTAATGTGTATGTAAATCATTTTATGAAGTTGTTTAGACCTGGAAACGGTTAAATGCAACACCTAGTCTAACTGCTGTTGTTTTTGTTGAAAAGTACCAAGCCTCCCTTATGCCAAATGTGTGATTAAGACCAGATACATAGCTTCTAGCAATGACTCAAACAAATGTTGACAGAACAAACTGATGACAATCACACATCCTCTTCAGATAATTGCCTTGTTATATGATTCAGCGTGGTTCTGTCCCAGTCAGATAAAAATCCCCAAAATTACTTATCTTTTATTGTTTTTTATGATAGATATGTCACTGACTGCTGTTTATTTTCCTGTCTTTCTAATGTTGTCTCTCTCATTGTCTAGAAACCTGCAAAAGCTGAGTCTGTATGGAGACACATGCATTCTCCAGCAGGATGGAGGATACAGCTCTATCCTGCACCAGATTCACCAGGGAGACAAAAAGATCAATGAGTAAGCATACTCAACATACAGAAATGGCTTGTTAGTGGTTGTTTCTTCCATACAGTGGATAATTGCATTGCAAGTAAAATGTACTTTATTTAAGCCTGAAAAATGGTACAATATTGGTAACTGATTTAATCAGAATGATAATTTGCAAAATGGGTAAATGTTTGACATTTTGTCACCATTAAGTTAGAAGGCACACCCACACATCTCTAGCATCCCCACAGCACTTCTCATGACTTGTCTACATCAAACATACTCACTGCAAGTGACCGGCGTTCTGTCAGTAAACTGCTGATTATAATGTCACTCGGACTGATAAGGTGCAGACGCCGAGGATCACACGATTAAGGTGGAGCAATTGTTTAGAAACCGAGAGCTGTAAATGACGATGTCATGTTTTTAAAACAATCCAGTACAACATCTTGTGCTAACACACTAATTGGAACATTTTGTGAATCTCTGGTCAAATAAATGTTAAATTAATGCCATGCTCAGAAGTCTTAGAAAATAACCCTGTTGATGTCATCAAGGTTGTCCCAGTATGGACTTAGGGACATTTGGCTTTGTTAAGTGCAATGTTGCTTCTCTGATGTTTGCACTACATACAGTGCATCCAGAAAGTATTCACAGTGCTTACCTTTTTCCACATTTTGTTGTGTTAGTCTTATTCCAAAATTGATTAAATTCATTATTGCCCTCAAAATTCTACAAACAATACCCCATAATGACAACGTGAAAAAAGTTTGTTTGAAATCTGCAAATTTATTAAAAATAAAAAAAATCACATGTATAAGTATTCACAGTCTTTGCTCAATACTTTGTTGAAGCACCTTTAGCACCAATTACAGCCTCAAGTCTTTTTGAGTATGATGCTACAAGCTTGGCACACCTATTTTGGGCACTTTCTCTCATTCTTCTCTGCAATACCTCTCAAGCTCCATCAGGTTGGATGGGGAGCATCGGTGCACAGCCATTTTCAGATCTCTCCAGAGATGTTCAATTGGGTTCAAGTCTGGGCTCTAGCTGGGCCACTCAAGGACATTCACAGAGTTGTCCTGTAGCCACTCCTTTGTTATCTGCCACCACCATGCTTCACTGTAGGGATGGTATTGGCCAGGTAGTGAGCAGTGCCTGGTTTCCTCCAGACATGACGCTTGGCATTCAGGCCAAAGAGTTCGATCTTAGTCTCATCAGACCAGAGAGTTTTGTTTCTCGTGGTCTGAGAGCCCTTCAGGTGCCTTTTGGCAAACTCCAGGCAGGCTGCCATGTGCCTGTTACTGAGGAGTGGTTTCCGTCTGGCCACTCTACCATACAGGCCTTGATCCAGAGAAATGCTGGAGCTCTTTCAGAGTGACCATCAGGTTCTTGGTCACCTCCTTGACTAAGGCCCTTCTCTCTCCATCGCTCAGTTTGGCCGGGCAGCCCGTTCTAGGAACAGTCCTGGTGGTTCCAAACTTCTTCCATTTATGGATGATGGAGGCCATTGTGCTCATTAGGACCCTCAATGCTGCAGAAATTATACTGTACCCTTCCCCAGATCTGTGCCTTGACACAATCTTGTCTCAGAGACTTGCAGACAATTCCTTGGACTTCATGGCTTTGTTTGTGCTCTGACATGCACTGTTAACTGTAAGACCTTATATAGACAGGTGTATGCCTTTCCAAATCATGTCATCAACTGAATTTCCCACAGCTGGACTCCAATCAAGTTGTAGAAACATCTCAAGGATGATCAGTGGAAACAGGATGCACCAGAGCTCAATTTTTTGAGTGTCATGGCAAAGGCTGTGAATACTTATGTACTTGTGATTTTTTTTTTTCTTCATTTTTTATTTCACATTGTCATTATGGGGTATTGTTTATAGAATTTTGAGGACAGTAATGAATTTAATCCATTTTGGAATAAGGCTGTAACATAAGAAAATGTGGAAAAAGTTAAGTTATGTATTAGGAACCACAGTTTCAAGGCACATTTCAACTTACACAAACCTTTGCCTCTCCAAATATCACTGGCAGTGTTGATAGCCTGTCCTTTCTGCATCATAGTACTTCTCATTCCTAGCAACCAGTATGGATGTGTTTTGCAACTCAGTGGTAGGAAGGTGGGTGGTATCACAATGTGAGTTTACACAAACACAGTATGTTTTGAAGGATTTGATGCAATCTAGATATTCCTAATTTCACAGCTGCAGTGTTTGTTTGATTTTATAGGTATGTTCGTATTTAAAAGCATAAGACTATTACATCTTCTCAGTATTGCAATATACTGACAGGTGTTTATATTATTTTGTCCACTTTTTATATCTATGAGGCTAAGACATGGGTTTTCAATCAGTGATCTGTGGCACATGAAGGCATTGCAGGTGGTCCCTGAACATGTATTCAATAACGTAGTTTCACTCTAGGAATCTTTTTCTACACATATCCATGTATTACTTGTTGTTTGAGAATAATCCAATATATAAAATTTTGAAAAGCCCAGGTGACTTTCAGGATTAAAATAATAATAATCTGGTCTATCCACCAGTGGTCCTCAGGTTACTTCTTAGTCACAATGGTGGTCCCTGGGTCATAATTAGTTGAAAATCCTGAGGCTAGGCAGTTCAACAGCAGCACAAACTACAGTGCCCAAAATGATCACACAGTTGTAACACCTCTCTGAAAGAGTTTGAACATAAATTATCACCTTCACAAATAAGGATTTATTCAACTGATCTTTAGGTGGGTGAACCCTATAATCTGCCAATGGAATGCATATCCCAATCTTAATCTTGTTTTTCTTTCTTCATTCATAAGGTTTATTTTTGGGATGTAACTTACATTTTGTTTAACTGGCATGAACTGATCTGAAGGTATGTTAGATGAACTTTGTAGGAAACTATAATCCTGCTGGCAAAGTGAATTTAAGATAATTTTTCTCATCTTCTCTTCATTCCCCTCTTCTCTGCTCTCTGCAGAATCCAGCAGTTGTTCATGGAGGTGCTGTCTAACAGCAGGCAGCTGCGGTGGTTGTCTTGTAGCTTCATGCTGGGTCTGGTGACTTCGTGCTCTTTGGCCTGCCTGTCAAATCCTTCAGCTGAGACCCTACAGCATCTTAGTGTGCTGGACCACCAGCTAGGTATGTATTTGTCTAGTATTTCGCATTCTTGGTACACACTGAGCAACTCAGTCCTATCAAAGTTTAAATATTGTAGTAGGAGTGGCACATTATAGTGTTTTTGCGGTGTGTCACCTCTCTTTAAATGTCCTCAGGTCCTCTCATATCACCATCAGAGCTGGAACGTCTCTCTAATCTTCATTCTCTGGCTCTGGATTTCTCTGACTTGACATCTGAGCTTTGTGGTCTGCTGGCTTCTCCACACCGTACTCCACTGCACCGCCTCTCCCTGCTGCTGAACGGCGCTGCCCTAGAGTGCAAACCATTAGAAGGGATTGCTACAGAGGATGACTGGAAGGCACTGGTAATGCAGAAGCTATGTGTGATTGTCTGTGTTGCAGGCTCTGTTTGATAGCAAGAAAAGAAATGTATACACTAGTTGAAATCTAATAATAAATCCTGTATACTGTACATCAGTCAAGTTTAACTTCTCCTCCCAAGGTTCGTGTGAGTGCCAACCTACGAGTGTACATCATGGCCCTGGAGGTAGACAGCTCAGAGCTCCTCAGGGTCCTAAAGCCTAGCCTGCCTCTGGAGCGCCTTCACCTCGACAGTTGCAGCACACTGGTGACCGACGCCACATTGGAGCTCGTCTCTCAGCAGTACAAAAAAACACTGACTCAGTTCCTGCTCCTGAGGGATGGCCCTGACTTTCCTGACCTCAGTATCAATCGCAATGAGGACCCATTGGTCCTCTTAGCATGGAGATGTACTCAGCTGGCTGTACTGGTGATACATGGTGAGTTCAGTTTGTTGTTTCAGGGATGGGGCTTTTCCCGCTCTAGGAACCCACTGAAATGTAAGGGAAGACGTAGCCCTTATTGCAGGTAGTGCTTTTGTTTCCACTGCCTTCAGCCTGCTATGGAGGTGAGTTCCTGGAGCTTTCGGCACCCCTCAGGAGGTAGGGGGAGGTGAGTTCCTGGAGCTTTCTGCACCCCTCAGGAGGTAGGGGAGGGGATAGGAAGAGGTAGGTACTCGCAGAGCTGTCATCTGTGATTGGTTAAACAACAGTGACCTCACATCTCAAGTATGAGAGTCACAAGCAACGTATGAACATATGCTCCCTGGTTTAGAGGTAAAACAGACTTCGGCAAGTTGGCCACAGGCAAAGTGGTGAAGATGTCACATTTTGGTCTGAACTCATGACAAGTGGGATTCAGGAGAAGAAAGTTTACATCCAATATGTAACTTCCTGTCACTTAATAGTATAGATTATATATGATATGTATATGATTTGAGCAAAAGGCACCTTCCCAGAATCGATTTGCAGTGGGATCGTTAATTCTACTCAATAAGGCCCATGTGTGAGCACATCTTTGTTTAGTTTGTCTTGTGCACAAAATACTGCTGATCAACATGCAGTTATGTACCAGCAGAAACAAAAGAAACAGACTGTTAGGCAGTAAACAGGAGTGGAAGCAATAGACTTAAAATGCCTTTAAAAAAATCTGCTTTGCAAATGAGGGAGGAAATGCACTGATCTCATATGGTAGATCTCCAGGATGTAGATCTCCAGGATGTATACGCTGTGTTTTGGTGACTAACACTGAAAGTATACATAACATTTGTGTGTTTACAAGAAAACTCAGGCACCTTTAATATTACACCTGCATTAAGTGGTGGTTGTTGTTGGTTTTTTTTCCCTCCATGTGGGAAGCACAGAAAGCTTTAAACACAGCATTGACATACTGTTACCTTAAATAGCAGTCAGTTAACAGCAAGTCTAATATTCACCCTCCACCAACTCCAGAGAGAAATATCTCTTTAGTTGCTGAATGCTGCTGCTCACCTGCTAGTTGCTAACCGTGTCTGTCATTTGGTGTTGGGCAGACAGAGTACAGTGGGTTCATCAACACATTTTCTCTGAACTGCTACTTCCTGTGTTTGGAAACAAAGACAATGGAAGTTTTGAGAGTGAACCAAATGGTGACATTTCTTGCAGTGAACCAGAACAAAGTAATGATCACAAAAAATATAAGCTCTGTAGCACTGAGGTGAACTGCAGAGGTTGGTTGTAACGTGTGGGTTCATCACAGTGAGGAGACCTTTAACTTTACAGAGTCGTTTCTTCCATTGCTGCTGTACAAATATTGATTAGTGCCACTATAAGGCTTTATTAGTGTGTGAATAATAACATCTCAAGCGTGAAGACATTTGAATGGCCTCTTTTCAAATACTGCACACCATGTGATGAAGACATCTCAGGTTGTATTTTGGTTTTGCCTTCAGCAGCTGCCGCTTGACCTACACACAGTTTGTCCAGAATTAGGACAGAGTTCCATCTGAGCAATGATGAGGAACCAGAAAAAAAGAAGTGCTGTAATTACTGTGAATTCATAAGCATGTTTATTTTTGCATTGAATAATGGTTTCTTTCTTCTTCTTTTTTTTTTTTAGTATGCGGAGTGTGCAACTGAAAGGTTATTCCTTAATAGTGACAAGATTAGGCCAACATTCCTCACCCTGTCTTTCTCCACAGGTTACACTGTGTGGTCCCACAACTTGGTGGCCATCTCTCGGCTGCGAGGCTCCAGCCTTCGTGTCCTGACTGTCTCTGAGGAGAGCATCGACTTTGATCCAGACCAGTGCATGGAAGGCAACCCAGTGCATACCCTGGTCAAAGAGGTTTCACTGGGCCTCGGCCGTGTCTGGCACCCTTGTCTGGATTCCAGCCTGGTTTTGTCCGAACCCACCCAGCACTTCCACCACGAGCTGCACGCCTTCAGCATGGGCATGTAGGCAGGGTTGGCAAACCCAAACCAACACATCACAGTCCAAACTGTCTCAAGACCAGGCCAGACCCACCAGGCCCAAGTCAGCTCAGACCTCTGAACCAGGTCAGAAATAGACCCAAGTGAGAAATCGAAAATGGATCTTTGAATAATCTATTAATTAAATTGACGCGAACTGATGTGGGCTTTTATTTTTTGTTTCTTTCATAGAAGTCTTAGCACACAATCAAGCCCCACCAGTTTCCAACATATTCCCTGTTCTCTTGCTTTGCTTCTTGATGATCTAGTTAGCCAGTGACTTGGAAAACCCAACTTAGTTGGGACTTTGTCCAGTTTAAGAATATTCAAAACTGGATAATATAATTAACCATTTGATATTCATTTTGTTTGAAGGATTGCCAGTCTCTGATGACTGACAAATCTTTAGTCATGAGAGTGTTTAATTTGTCTACTAAAATGGGTCATCCTGCTTCTTAAAAATGCCCTCTTGCCTGGCATGACCCAGGCTGGTCTGGTCTTGCAACAATAAGTATTCAGAGCTCAATGTTCCTCCTTCACCTTAACCTCCAGAAGCTCTATATATTGTAACTTTGAATTTTTATTTTTTTTTCACTGTTTTTCATCTCCCTGCTCTGTGTGTAATCTTGTTTTTCCTGTGTGGTGGTTTCCTTGCCTGTATAGGCTTTGTGTGTATTTAAATACAGATATTAATATCCTGCTCATAGCTAGAACAGGACAGGCAGGTGGGTTGAGTGATGGTCTGGTGGGATTTGGGGTTGGAGGGAGTGGTAGCGCGTGTTGAGACATAAGCTACTGTCTTTATTTGTGAAACTTTAACTTTTGTTTTGTGTCTGTCAGTCTGCTCCATTCTAGCAAAAGTTGGCATGTACAAACTAACTGATCAGTCACTTCCTGGGTAATTCAACCTCAGCTGCTTCTTCTGTTGCACTGAAAGAGCACCTTGTGTACTTGTCCACTAATCCAAGAGCCTTGCCAGCAGGGTTGGAAACTCCACTGTAAGATAGCTGACTGAGGCTGGTGCAAATCAGTTTAAACAGCCATATGAGTGCCATGACGTGAGTGGCATTTCAAAGCCAGCTGGGTTTTTTAAGGGTTATGAGCCCCTTACTGGTGGTGTTATGGAGAATATTGTTGCATGCTTGCTGCCAACACATTTCCAACCCTGCACACTTGTCGACTTTTTGAGAAGCCTCACCTGTTGGCTAAATAGAGAGCCTTGTCTTCTGACTGACATTCAGAGCCAATAATTAAGAGTCAACCCATCATAGTCAACACACCCCTACTGTGTATTAATTTGTAGTGAGCTGGTAGTAGAGCTTCTATATTCAGGATAAATATAGCTGTCTTTGCTCTCCTTTAGAAATCACCTGGTATCACCGGTTCCAGTGTCAGGATATCAAGTCAAATGAATGAACAGGAGAGTGCACCATGACATGAGGGTCTTCAGATAGTTCTGCATTATTCAAGAGAGGACAGGTTTTCATTCCATAATGCCATATACATCCTTGTTTTGATAAAATCTTTGTGAATGCTTCCAGATTCTCAGCAAGGCCATGCTGAAATATCAGTGTTCTGTCAGCACAGCTTCCTAAGTTGGCAGATACTAAATCTAGGTTTTGCAGTTATGCTAGCAGTACTGGGGGTAGGAAGCAGTTTTTCCACAGTGGTGATCTTCTTGTTATAGAGTAAAGCAATTCATGATTTTGGATAGAGACAAGAAAAGGGTGCACTGAATGTAACTCAACTCTCATGCTGTTGGCCAGTTAGGCAAGTTTGTTTTGTTTTGTTTTTTATTGAAGGCTTACTGTGTGGTTGTATTTGCTACAGAAAATTATCAGATTCATATCCTGCTACAATAGTTGGGGCTGCTGAATAAATGAGTTTGGACATTCTGCTCTTGGTTGGTGGAGAAATGGTGTCTACAGCACAACAAAGTTTTGTTTTTGTTTTTGTTTTTTTGAGATGGAAGGTTCTTCTGTCAGTGTCTGGTAGGGTTTTAACATCACTATGACCAGGACAGAGGTGGTGTTGATGCTGTGCAAGGTGTGTGAAACAATCGGTTAATGTGAGAAATACTCTTATTTATTTTGTCTTAAGTCACAGTTGCCTTGGAAACAAACCCTTGCTTTCTGGATGCAGTTGATGTTACTGATGATGTTTATCTTGCCATCTGATGAACCCTCGCTTCACCTTGGATGAAGGGTCAGCAAACTTAATCATACATTTGTTTTCAAAGATTAAGCTAGACTAAGGAATGGCAAAGTCGATCTGCTCATTGCACATGTTTTGTATGTTCTGTACCAGGATAGGGAGTGACTGGAGCAGTCGATGGAGGACCTGCTGGGCCCAATTACTCTCTGAACTGAATGTAGTCAGTTTGCAGGAGTAAGTGACACAGTAGCTTTTGTCTGGCTGTGCTGCTGGCTTGTTCTTTAGGCATTCATTCTCAAGGGTAAGGAGATGGCTTTGACTTCAGATTCTAACTTTTGAGAATCACTGAGTGAACACTTTTACAAATGATTTAATTGTTCCTGCAGCTCAGTGAAAGTGCTAACATGTTCATGGTCCAGGCCAGGCACCATAGACAAAATATCTTGTGCTTCAGACACATCACAAGCTGATAACTGGGCGCAGTATTTTTTGTGTTGGATGCTCCAGTGTGGTGACTTTCAAGTGCTTATGACTTTCAAATAGCCATTGGTAGGAAAGTTATCCTCCCAAGAGCAATGGTACTGCAGACTGTGAGGGTCCATATCAAGGTTATAATTTACAAGGCTGACTATTTTACTTTTTATTTTATTTTATTTTATTTTATTTTAAGGGTGTACTGATACGGAGCCACAGTTAAAATAAAAGCAGACCAGCACTTTTGCTTGGTTCAGAATGAACTGGTCCTAGTAGTGGGCCTGTGGTTACCAAATGTTTGCTTGTTTGTTAAAGGGCCTTGATGGTTTAGCCATCTAGTTCTTGGTCCGTATCTCAGGAGAAATGCACTTTGGTACCAAGAGTTTCGTTGTGGCCATCTGTGGCTGTGTGTGTATAGAGCTATACACTCCCACTCAGAGGGGACAGCAGCACCAACATAACACTTTTTAGACCAAAATATGTTGGTTTTTTTATCTTCTCCTCCCTTTTTTGTTCTCATCTCTCGTTTTAAAGCTGAACTTTGTTTCTTTGTATTGTGTATGGTCATTGTGTAATAAGAAGGAATAGTCACAGCAGTTTTGTCATCTCTGCTAGGTAGACAGAGTTTTACAAACAACTGATTTGAACAAGCCAGTTTTACAGATTAGCTATTGCTGGCACCTCACTAGAAGTCAGATGTCATTGTTTCAGTCCTTATGGCCCAGGATAAAAGAAGAGTTGTGTTTTTGCAAGACAGCTCAGACATGTCAGCTCCAGCAGAATAAATTTTGTCACGTTATGCATACAAAGCACTTTTCTCATCCTAGGTTTCACGTCCCACACAGTGTTCCAAGATGGAGGCCTTAGGAGAAATCTTGTAGGAACATGTAGGCCACACAACTTCAGAGGGAAAAATGAACAGTGATGTAGATAATACACATGAGTAGAAAGTCATTCCAAAGCAGTGTCTTATTGATTATTGCTTCTGTTAGGTTTTGTTTTGTCACTGAAACACACAAAAAATGTTAGTGAAGATGGTGTGGATAGAGCTTTGTGACAAGACTGTGTGAGCAGCACAGATAGGCACACTCCTCTCAGACAGTTGGACACATCAGGAGACAACCAGTATGCCTGATCCCTGTGTGTCATTGCCAATAGCTAAATATAGAGCCATCTTGTGCCTGACAGCTTCTGGAGTCTCACTGATTTTCCATCCTCTGCTCTGCCCAAGTTGTTTGTTAATTGTTGCGATTGTAAGTTTTCACTTTAAGGAAGCAGTATTATGCAGTAACTAAGGTTCCAGCACGTGTTGTAAATTCCCTTGGAGCGTACCTGTATGTACAAGTTTTCATGTGAAACTGTCAAGTGTAACCTGTAGAAATGTGTGAATGAGACGGGATGGATATGTGTATGCTAAGTTATCAGCCATGAAACAATCATACATGTTCTGTATAGTGTGTGTATTTATGGGGGGGCTTGTTTGATGTCCAGTGATAGAGTTGTATCACTTCTACTGCAGCAAGAAACGGGAACAGAAATCGTTTATTCTCAGGGTACAGTCAGTTTTCAAGTGGAGGAGATAAAGTAACAATAGCTCAGGCATCTAGCTCACACATATGAATATTAAGAGTCACTGGATCTGTTCTCCTCCCTTGATGTGTTTTTTGCTGCCAAAGACCACAGTAGAACAAAAGTAACACAGGCACAGGTCACTCTGAAGTGCCCACGTATACAACCACTGGCAGGAAGCGGCTCTAGTATTATCCTCTACTCACCGCCTCCTTCTAGTATTTTCTATGCTGTCATTTATTTCTTTGTCCTTTAGTCCTGGATTCTTCCACTGACAAGTGCCACTCTGTTTTTTTGTCCAGCCTCAGGCCTTGTTATACGATGGACCACACTGTGCTGAACAGTATCATTCTGTGGTTGGGACTTTAAACAAAAGCTTGGCCAGTGTTTCCTTAGTGGCCGCACTCTTATTTCAAATTTAGGATTTCACTGACTGGTTGCGTAGGATGTGTGTTTATGGTGGACATTTATTTCCAATCTGTTCTAATTAAAAGAGGCTAGCGGCCTTGTTTCCACAACTGGTACAATGTGGCCAGATTCCACTCTCTAAATGCTGCACCTTCACAGAGCAGAGCAAGGCCTTGCTAGTCCGGTGCAGTACAGTTAATTCGTGTAACAGAGGTTTACGCAGACATGCCTGGAGTTGGACCATGTCAACAATATTTGCTTGCCACCACACTCCTTCCTGTTTCTCTTTTCTCCATCACCTGTTTCACTGTGAGGAGTGAGTGAATGTAAAACTAATTTTGAGGAGGACATGAGGTTTGGTTCAAGCTCCGCACATGTCAGGGACTAAGCACTCCCTCAGGTGCTTCCAAAAGTTACTTTGTGACAGATTGTAGCTTCCTAGCAAGGACAAAGGCCATTGTGCCTGCTGTGATATGCTGTATGGTGTGTAAGGTCAAATATGATAGCAAGCTTTTAGTGCCAGCCTTTTGGAGCTGTAAAGTGCTGCTGCTAGAGATGTACAAGGAACAGGACATTCCATATAAAGGGTCACTCAGGCCATCTGACTACAAATGGTTTACTACCTACATGGCTAAAGTGTCTGCAACCCCCCCGTCTCATTTATAATATGCTATACTTGTAGTGGTCTGTTTTTGAAGCGATGCAGCATCTAGTACAAACGAATCACACCAGATTAACAACTCGCTCTTTTGAAGGTTAGCTATGTTGCTAATTAATATCTGTTTCTGCTTTCACTTGATTCCTCTGCACCTTGAGGTCATTCAAGGACTGTTTGTCCAGTACACGGGTGGTCACAAGTGAAAGCACTCCACACAGGCTGTGCTATATATGAGGACTAGCATATACAGAAAGCGGTTGACACACAGCTAGCGGAGCCTTAGTTTTAACAGGTTCTGCCACTACAGTGACAGGCTTGAAGGCTCGAGAGGGGAGAAGGGTGTTAGTTATTCATGAGAGGATGGCTAACAGTTGCTACTTTGATGTAGTTGGAGCATGTTCTGTCCTTTTGTTCTGTTTGTTTTGTTTTTTGTTCCTTATTTTTTATGCTCTTTATATGCATCTGTAAAGAAATCCTGGAAGGCAGCAGGGCCCCAGTGGCCTGATGGGTAATTGAATCCCTACAGAGCTGGCCTCTAATGTAATCCATCTGAGACAGTTTGCCTTGACAGCTCATTAAGGCTGTAGTCTTACAGACATTTGTCTTGTGTTTAAAAAAGCAAACAAACTGTGAGCTGATTGATGTGAGGGCGTGCTGTTGTCATGTACTGGTGAGATAATAAATTATAATCCAGGAAGTCCAGCTAGTAGGAGGAGATGTGTCGAATGCCAAAAGCGCACACACCGGATTTTACACTTCTGGAAAGTTACCATGGCAGTCACGATAATTGTTTCCCTGCTGTGTCAGTATACGTCCCACATTCAAATGAATGAGAAGGCCTATGATGGATTTTTATTTTTTGTTTTTCCTTCACAGTGAAAGTCTGTCTGGACATGGTTTGCTAATGTGTTGTGAACTGTGGTTATACAGGGGTCTGGACATGTCTGTCTTATCAGGCCCATATACAAAGAGTTGGGTTTGGCAATACTTAATAGCCAATACTGATACCACTGACATGGACAAACGTTTGAGTGCGTGTTGTTATAGTACCAAAGTAGCATCAGGCTCAGTCACAGACAGACACACATCAGACATGACTAGTTTCATTTCCATTTGAATCATTGCCAACTGCATCTGTGATCTTGATTCTCAGGATGTTTGAGTTCACTTAAAAATAGCCTTAGAAGAGGTGAAAACATGGTTCTTGCCTAAAACCTTTACTGAAATAGAGATGGGGAATGTGAAATGTTTCTGAAGTTAAGAGACAGGGTTTCCTGATCACAGTGCAAGATTTCAGATGCTTCCTTTGTGTTTGTTTTTGTTTTTTAAATCTAAATGCTAAGACCATGGACTACTACCAGCACATGCCAGACTTTGAATGAATGAATGTGAGAAATCTGATTAACATCCTATTACTTGGGGAAAAACACTGGATGTGCATTGCACTGGTTTAAATCAGTCGTGTATAACGGATATAGCTCGACGTGTGTGAGGCTAGTTATAATCTCAGAGGAGGAAGGGGGGGTCGCACAGTGAAGGCCTTAGAGGACTAATGTTCTCCATTTTTCAGTTTTTGCCATAGCTGACACTAATACTGGTTTTCTAGCCAGCTTATGATGATGATCTCAGCGTGACTGGAATGTGGTAGTTTTACAGAAGAAACCACAAAATGGCGCTGATGACATAACCAGGCCAAAGTATCAGAGCTGTGCTGCATACTGTTGAGGTTGATCTAGCACCTGGCTATACGGAGCTGATATTCATGGTCAGTGTCAGCCAATTGTCTTCATTTAGCCGTCAGCTACTGTGGCTCTGATGTTTGTGACTGGTTAAACAAAGTCTTTCTTGTCAAGCCTGGAGAGCCAAACCTCCTAATTGACCAGGCAGGCAGGCAGGCCTGCTGCCCAGACTGGTCTCACAACTATGCAAGAAGAATGCATATAATCCACACCCTTCAGTTTTTAATTTTTTTTTTTCCTGTTCTGTTTTTATATTTAGTTTTGCTTACTGTCACATTGTAGATATGAAGATGTAAACTAATAAGAACTTGCAAAGACAATACTTGGCCTTATGATGATTTATGAAATGTTATCATTTAGTTTTAAGACCTTCTGACTCTGGTCAGCCAGCCCAATGACAGCAGCGGTGACAGCGGGCTCACTTTTGGTCTCTGTGAGACTTGCTAGTCGGCCCCAGTTTTATCGTGGTACGAATGTTGTGCATTTGTTTAAAATCAGGACAGTTTGCAATAACAGCAGTCTTACTAGTGGCCACAAAGGGGCACAAGCAGTGCTGACAGCGCCCGGGCTGCGTCTTCAGAAAACCATAGAGGAAGAAATATAAACTATATAAATAGATATATTAACTCACACAGTGCATATTTGGTATCAGCAATGCATTACCGTGGATTACTCTTATGCAACACATGTCCAGGTTCAATTTATGAACATTAAGTATATTCTGAGATCTTACAGACTTTGTAAATCAGACATTGTTGTTTTTTGTTTTGTTTTTTGCAAAACCAGTTTTACCATCCTTAATATTCTGAGCATTATGTTCCTGTGTGATTGTGTTTGTTCAGTTGAACACAGCAGTGGGTTTTACCTTCCTTCTGTAAGCAGGGAACCAGATGAAGCCCAAAATCCAGTTGGACAAGATTTCATTTATCATGTATCATATTGCAGAGACATTCTAAAACATCAAACTCTGATCTAGACATGGTTTTTAAATAACTGAGACGAGTTTTTAACTCAGCTAAATTATGATTGCATGTTTCATACAAAGCAACATCTGGTTCCAGATTGCTGGGTACTCAACCACAAGGGTTATATCGACCCCAGGGTCCCCACTAGTGTTCATGTGTCCAAACATTTTCATTAAGGACCTGCTTACACTTGGGTGAATTTTTAAGACTGAAATCTTCCCAGCTGTAGTGGATGAGTCTGCAGAGAGAGAGAGAGAGAGAGAGTCCTCACCTGCTGAGAGGACAATTTTTATCATGGTTCTACTGTGGAGAAAAACAAACCTCCATGTAAAACCTCTTAAATGACAGATGATGTACACTTAGGGGTCAACCTGCCGAATGTTGATTTGATTTAATGTTGAATGAATGCTTCTCTTCTTTTAGTCAGTGAATAAAAGCATTAAACCCGTCATTTGCTTCCATTGTCTTATCGTTTCTCTACCTGCTGTTTTCAACTTCAGCAGCACTGAGTGATACAGTATGTATCCCAGACCTCCAGGGCCCGTATTCACAAAGCATCTTAGAATTCTCTCTGAGAGCTCCTATCTTAGCCTAAAAAGTCCTAGCTGGGAGTCCTAGACTAAAAGTGATTTAGGAAACTTCTCAGAGCAACTCTGAGCAAGAAAGAAAACCTTTATCTTGGTGAGGAGGTGTGGTTGACCTCGTTGCTAGGGATGACTCAGCAAATCATGGACTGTGATTGGTTGATAAAGAATCTGTCACGGTCTTTACAAAAATGCGGTCTGTGTGAAAAGAGAATATATGATAATATGATGGACAGTGAAATCATAATGTTTGTATATAAAAAATATATAATCATGAATACAGGCTACTTTATGCAAAGTTTCTGTTATAGGCTAAATATCTTAAAGTTGATTAAAACCGCTAAATGTTGAAAATATGTCCACTTTTGAACCAGTTAATTTCCATGTAGTAGTTACTATAAGTTCTTACCTTTATTTACCATACTGGTTTTAGTACTTGTACATCATGTTGGCAATCCTGTATTGGCCTGCCCACAGGAGGTGACGTGGGAGGTCAGAGGTAAGAGAGGAGGTAGAGAAAAAAGGATAACATTAAAGGAATGTTGGACACAGCGAAATGAGAGACTAACTCTGTTTGTTCACACATTTACATGGTGGCAGAAGTCAGCCTACAGTAATGATGGCACAAGGACTCCGTAAGGTCGACCCCCTGGTTTTTGATGATAATATTGCGAACAATTGGACGAAGTTTAAGCGCGAATGGCGCATCTACAGCAACGCTGCCCTCATGAAGGTGCAAGCCTACACGTTCCTCAACCTCGCTGGTTCGGACGCCCAAGACAAATACGACACGTTCACCTTCGGGACAGAGAAAGACCCAGAGGATCCAGAGGTACTACTAAAGAGGGCTGCAGCCCAGGCGGTTGCGGAGGCAAAAACTCGGGTCTGGGAAGAGTTCGGTGAGGCCATGGAGAAGGACTATCGGTCGGCCTTGAAGAGATTCTGGCAAAC